GTGGTGGGGTTTTAGACTGGGTGGTGGTAGGATTTTTGACCGGGTGGTGGTGGGAGTTTAGACGGGGTGGCGGTATGTGTTTCGACAGGGTGGTGGTGGGAGTTAAGACTGGATGTTTGTGGGAGTTAGATTGGGTGGTTGTAGGATAAATACAAGGTGGAGGTGGGAATTGAGACAGGGTGGTGGTATGAGTTCAGAGCAGATGGTGGTGGGAGTTTAGACCGGGTGGTGGTGAGAGTTTAGACCGGTTGATGGTGGGATTTTCGACTGGGTTGTGGTTGGAGTCTAGACCGGGTGGTGGTGGGATTTTAGGCTAGGTGGTGGTGGGAGTTTGGACTGGGTGGTGGGAGTTTAGACCAGGTTATGGTGAGAGTTTAGACCGGTTTGTGGTGGAATTCTAGACCGGATGGTGGTGGGAGTTTAGATCAGGTTGTGGTGGGAGTTTAGACGGTGTGGTGGTGGGATTTAAGTCAGGGAGGTGGTAGGATTTTAGACGAGGTGGTGGTGGGAGTTTAGACGGGGTGGTGGTGGGATCTTAGACTTGGTGGTGGTGGGAGTTTAGACCGGGTGGTGGTGGGATTCTATACCAGATGGTGGTGGAAGTATAGATAGTTTGGTGGTGGGAGTTTAGACCAGGTGGTGGTGGGATTTTAGACCGGATGGTAGTGTGTTTGTAAGATTTTGACTGGATGCTGGTGGGTATTAAGATGAAGTGGTGGTGGGATTTTAGATTAGGTGGTGGTGGGAGTTTAGATCGGCTTGCGGTGGGAGTTTAGACTGGTGGTGGTGGCCACAAAGCGGGCCAGGATGCTGAGAGGGTATGCGAGATCTGGGCGAGTGCAAGTCATCAGGTACATGAGGCAACCCACCAGCTCTGCGTAAGGACTACTGGGCTCTGCTGACTCCTCAAGAACTGGAGCTGAGAGCATGTGGTCTACCGGCAGAGGTGTGGGCTGTGAGGAGGAGAACTGAAGACCGAACCTCTGAAGGACCTGGCGCACCAAGTGTGACTGTGTAAGAGTGATGGTGCGCGCTACTCTATCCCTGGAGATCTGTAGACCAAGGTAGCGGCGCAGCTCTCCCAGGTCAGTGCAGCTGTGTCACCTCAGCAACTCAGCCTTCACGGAGGCCAGCGCGTCTCTGACTGCTGGAGCAAAGACCAGGTCATCTACGTAGACCAGGATGTAGAACGGAGTCTAGCCAGCACGAACGAAGAGTGAAGGGTCAACATAGGACGGAAAGAACTGCAGGTCAGCTAGCGTAGCACACAGCGTGTCGTGCCACTCACGGGGCGCCTGTCGCAAGCCGTAGACGGGGCGCCGGAAGAGCCACTGGGTTCCAGGAAGGAATGTACCGGTGAAGCCCTAAGGGAGGCGCAGGTAGACCTGCTCGTGTAGGCTTCCCTGAAGGAAAGCAGTGGAGAAGTCGAGGGAGTGAAGCTCGTAGTCATGCTGTGCTGCTACGTGTAGTAGTGCCCGAAGAGTAGTCATCTTCGGGGTCGGGGCGAAGGTCTGAAAGAAGTCCACCCCCTCTCGCTGATTGAAGCCTCTAGCCACGTAGCGCGCCTTGAACACAGGCGGCTCTCTAGGGGGGCGCTTCACCTTGAAGAGCCACCGGTCATCGACTACGTTCACCCCAGTTGGGGGAACTGCGTCGACGTAGGTGCCGGTAGCCCTCCAAGATGCCATCTCCTGCTCCATGGCAGCTATCCACTGAGAGGCCCAAGGTCCTGAGGTCGCCTCAACGTAGGTGCGAGGGGTCGGGATTTTAAAGGCGTCGGGGTCACCCTAAGGGACTAGCAGCATGGAACAGAGATGGGGAGCAGCCTGTGACAGGAAAACAAGCTCATACTGCCGGTCCTCCAAAACGTTACTGCCGAGGGCAGCAGCACCCCCGACGGACGAAGGACAGACAGGGTCAGAGACCAGAGTGGTAGCGAAGTCAAGGCGGCGAGTAGAGGCAAAGTCAGCAACAGCAGCTACAAGAGCGTCAAGACTGGAGACCGTGCTAAGACATGTGACGCAGGCGGGGTGCTCGGGGTGACCTAGGCAGTGGTGCAACAACAGTGACGGGTGAGTGAGCAAGCGACACAAGCAGGCCGCAGCTACCTGGGTGGACGCAGGACCGGAGAAGGACCCGCCCGCCGAGGGGGGAGCAGTGTCCAGCGTAAACAGGCCAGACACAGGGTCCCGGGGGAACGTCGCAAGGGGGGCACCTGAGGCGGCCTCGGAACAGACCGCGCACCGCTCGTAACCATGGAATGTAGTGGTGACGCCGAGGTCCTGAAGACAGCCGACACCGACTACGTTCTTGGAGAACGAAGGGATGTGCAGGCCTGTAAGGGAACCCGAGGGAACCGCCGGACAGGGAAGGGTAGCGTAGTTGCGAGCAAGTACAGGACCAGAGGAGGGGTCCGCAAGGGCGATAGCGGCATGCGCAGCAAGCGGCGTGGGGGCGGCGTTTTTGTGGAAGAAACAGGCTGACGCTCCGGACTCTAGAGTGAAGGACAGCGACGCCGTAGTGACCGACGACGGAGGAGCAAGGGTAGAGCCTAGGCTAGACAAAACAAGCTGTCCTACGCCTGACGCAGCAGGGGAGTCTGGACTATATACAGGTGCTATGCCTAAGCTAGAGAACACAGAGTAATACGATCCGGAAACACTCAAAGCGTCAGCATACAGAGAATGCAAGGCAGAACTAATCTGATCCATGTCAAGTCAAACACAGGCACACCGTGGCGCAGTAGGCTGGGCCAGTCAGGGAGGTCCGGGGCAGGACCAAAGCGGCGACGGAAGAGGTCGTCGAGGCGGCGGAAGCAGCGGGTGGTGGGGTGCGAGCGGCGGCACACAGTGCCACGCAGGGGCCCAGTCTGAAGCTGGTACTGGCAGATCACAGCACCGAAGCTGCCGGTGGACGCTGAGCTGCGAGGGCTACCACCACGACCACCACCGCCAGGGGCTCCTGGCCACCCGGGCGGGAGAAGAGCCCACGGCTGCTACTGCTGCAGCTGCGGCTGCTGCTGCTGCTGCTGCTGTGATGGCTACTACTGCTGTGGCGGCTGCGATTGCGGCGACTGCTGCTGCTCCTAAGCACCAGCACCAACCCCCTCGTCAGAACCATAGTCCCCGCCACCACCACCACTAGCGCCACCTCCACGTCCTCCCTTGGGGCCACGGCGGCCCCGGCGCTGGCGCTGCTGCGGGTAAGCCGCAACTGCTGTCTCAGGTGCAGGCGCAGTCGTGGCAATTGCGGCGGAGACGTCATCGTACGTGCACTGGGAGGGGGCACAGCCCTGAAAGATAGGGGCTGCCGCAACACCGCTCGACTGAGCGATAGTGCACTGGCGAGTCTCTATCTCAGACAGAGTAGTGACAAAGGCGGCCAGGGTGAGGTCGGCAGGTTGCTAACTAAGGAAGTGGTCGCGGGCAGTGGCTAAGCGGCCAGGCAGGCGCATGGCGATGAGGTACAGGGTAGCGCAGAAAGGTGGGGGGAAGGCAGTAAGCTGGGCGGCAGAGCTAGCAGCGCGGTAGCTGGTCTCTAGTGCACGGAGGTGAGTAGCGAGGTCAGCTACCGTAGGGAAAGCAGAAAGATCAGGGAAGAGCATGGGTAGGATCAAGCGGCCAGCAGAGGCGGAAGCAGGTGTGCAGTAACGCTCAACTACTGCAGCGAGAAAATCCTTGGCGTTCGCAACAGCGGTAAAGCGCGGATGCTCAGACAGGGGGAGGGCATGGCTAATGGCAAGCTGGGCTACTGCGTCGCGAGAATCCCAGACAGCTCGAGCAAGTGCAGCAGCAGCAGCAAAAGCCTCGCTCTCAGCAGTGGTAGGGTCAGCAGGGAGGGGATCAGGTGCAGGGGGGCGGGGAAGCAAACCATCAACATACATAGCCAGGGAGTGCCCATCCTGGCGCTGACCTGTCAGGTGCCGGCGGAGGTCGACGAGTCAGGCGGCAAAGTCGATCGCGTGCCCCTCAGCGTCCTAGTGAAGAACGGCGTCCGCCATCGCACAGTGTGACAGCGGCACAGCGGCTTCGCGGCGGAGCGACTCGGCGGCTCGGCGACACGGCGGCTCGACGACACGGCGGCTCGGCGGCTCGGCGGCGCAGGTGCTTGGCGGCTCGGGGACACGGCGGCTCGGCGGCTCAGGCGACGAGGCCGGCTAGACGCAAGGGGCCAGCTAGGGCACAAGGGGCCGGCTAGGGCGATCGGGACCGGTAAGGGCGCGTGGGGCCGGCTAGGGATGCGGGGGGAGGGGTAGGAGCACGAGGAACCTTAGGGGCGCGAGGGGCCGGCTAGGGGCGCGACGGGCCGGTAGGGGCGCAACGGGGCCGGCTAGGGGCGCGAGGGGCCGTAGTGGCGCGCGTTGCCGGCTTGGGGCGCGACAGGGCCGTAGGAGCGCGACGGGGCCGGTAGGGGCGCGATGGGGCTGGCTAGGGGTGCGACGGGGCCATAGGGGCGTGACAGGGCCGTAGGGGCTCGACGAGGCCGTAGGGGCGCGACGAGGCTAGCCAGGGGCGCGACGGGGCCGGCTAGGGGTGCGAGGGGTTGTAGGGGCGCGACGGGGCCGTAGGGGTGTGACGGGGCCTGCTAGGGGTGCGACGGGGTCGTAGGGGCGCGACGGGGCCTGCTAGGGGCGCGACCGGGCCGTAGGGGCGCGACGGGGCCATAAGGGCGCGACGGGGCCTGCTAGGGGCGCGACGGGGCCGTAGGGGCGCGCGGGGCCAGTTAGGGGCGCGAGGCACCGGTAGGTGGCGGCACGGGGCGGAAGCAGGTGGGTGGACCTACCTACTCGTGATACCATGTTAAGACAAGAAAGAATGATTAGAAGGGAGAACAGGGGAGATATAGCATTTGGGTTGTACCCACTAAGAACATACCCTATCTAGCCTATAACTTTTACATAACAATATTTGTATAAGTTGACAGTGCCACCCTGAGTTGCATGTTTCTTGCTCAGCACTGCCCCGTATCTAGCCTAGGGGGTGTCATCTTTTACATATGTTTATACCGGTATGTAGAAGTTATAGGCTACATAGGTTTGTGTTCATAGAGGGTACAACTCCAACCCTATATCCTCCTCTGTACTATCTTGTTCTAGTCATTCTGCTATTCTAACAGCACGGGCATCAAAGACTAGAGTCTGAATCACCAAACAATGTGCTTGTAAGCCAAGCCTTCCAAGGAGCGTCTTGTTGGTGCTTGAGCCACGAGAGCCACGCGCTGTCAAGAAGGCAGAAGAAGTTGACGAAGAGCAGCTGGTGCTGCACCGGCACCACCTTGAAGTTGACCGTCTGGATCACGGGCCACACTGTGGCCTCTGTCAGGAAGCCGGGCACGAAGTCCCTTGCAAGGTCCCTGCGGACCTGCGCCAGGGAGTGGCCGGCCACGAGCCCCGTGTACGTGAAGAAGGCGGCCAGGTGCACGGGCCCGAACACAAACGTGTCCAGAAACAGCTTCGCCGCCACAAACCGCATGGTTGACGGTCGCAGCCCCATGCGGGTTCTCACAAAGCTCTCCAGCCCCTCGTACCTGCCACACCACGCCAACAGCCCAGAGCCAACAGTCAATCAACAGTCAAGGGCCAACAGCCTCAATAACTGGACTGCTTTCTGAAGCACATTAGGCCGTGCAGGCACCGAAACACGGGGATATATCACAGCAGCCGCGGAGCGGGGTTATGAGAGGTAGTGAGGGGCGTAGAGAAGGTGAGAGCATGAGAATGATGGAGGCAGGGAGGAACAGCGGCAGACGCAAAGAAGACTGGGGAAGAGGATCGAGGCGGCTGACCAGTAATGCCCCAGTGGGCCCACAAAGCCCGCTCCGAACAAGGCTGTGGTGAGAACGCGGCGATAGTTGAAGCTCTCAGCCGCCCGCCCTGGCAGTGCAGGTGTGGGCAAGTGACGGGGATGTGCAGCAGACCCAGGCGAGCAGCCCTGCACAGAGAGAGAGGGGGGCGTGCACAACAATGGAGAGGAAAAGGATGGTGTGAGAGTGCAGGGGGGGGATTGGATTAGATAGCACGCCAGAATGTACACCCTGGACACCCATGCGAAGAGGCAAGCCAAGACACAGGGAAGCCGAGCACAGCATGCAGGATGGGCAACAGTGAACTACGATTCCCACGAAACGTCATGGCCACGCCACAGCGCGACCACGCCACAGCACGACCACGCCACAGCATGACCACGCCACAGCACGGCCAGGCCACAGCACGACCACGCCACAGCACGACCACGCCACAGCACGACCACGCCACAGCACGACCACGCCACAGCACGACCACGCCACAGCACGGCCAGGCCACAGCACGACCACGCCACAGCCCGGCCAGGCCACAGCACGACCACGCCACAGCACACCCCCAGCAGTCCATCGCACCTGAGCATGGTCGGGCGACGCAGCTCCATCTGCCTGCGGCGACCCCACAGGGACAGACACGCGCGCGGCCACGTGTGCATCCGCCATGTGTGCGTCGCCCATGTGTGCGTTCGCCACGTGTGGGTGGGACATGCGTCGGTCGATGTGCTGCGCGATGGCGTCGCCCGCCCCCCACAGCGCCGTGGACGTCACCACCTGCGTGCGGAGCGGCCGCCGCGACAGCTGCTGCTGGTACCACCCCCAGCACCCGCGCAGCCCGCGCCACGACATGCGCGCGCGCGGAAGCGGATGGTGCGACGAGCTCGAACGGGCCGGGACGTGGCGGTCGCGCTAGCAGCGTGAGGCTCCCATTTACCCCGTCGCTCCGCAGCCACCCGCGCGCCCACACTATCGCAGCCGCCCTAATGCCCTCCGCCCTCACACCCTCCTGTCAGCGATCAGCGTTACACGATGGGCGATGGGGCGATGAATGACAAAGGATGAACGATCAGCGACGGGGGATGAGGGATGAATGACGAGGGATGAGCGATCAGCGACGGGGGATGAGGGATGAATGACGAGGGATGAGCGATCAGCGACGGGTGACGAACGATGAATGACGAGGGGTGAGCGATCAGCGACGGGTGACGAACGATGAATGACGAGGGACGAGAGATACCCGACAAGCGGTGAGCAGTTAGCGACAGGCGATGAGCGACGAATGATTGCTAAGGAGCGAGGAGCGAGTCGCGGCGAGCAAGAGCAACTATTGCCGTGAAGATTGAGTGAGACCTCAAGGTTGACCTGACCGGCTGTGCGGAGAAACTCGATCCCCAGGAGACGAGCAGAGCCGTGGGTTGGTGGTTTGGCGGCGATTGTCCACGGCTCCAAACAATGACACGTGCACAGTGCGGGGGTTCAATTTCTACTTTCGATAGTACAGCCACAAATGTAGGATGTACTCTTGGCTCACTTGTGCCGTAATCCTAAAACCTACTTGGAGGGATTTCCAACAAAACTATAGCATATTACTTCATGCCACAACGCACTCTTCTTGAACGCAACTAATAATGAGCGCAACTATCAATCAACCAATATCCGAAATGATATAGGTGTCTTTCTAACAGGCAGAGAACGGCGATCAAGACATGAAGAGAGTGCCTAGGACCGTGCAGCAGCGCGGTGCTTGATCATCATTTGCACGAAGTCATGGAACACTGCACGCGCAGCACATGCAATGCATGTCATGGTAACGGGAACAGCCAAGCAACCTCACCGCACGCGCGTGCAGGATAGAACAATTAAAGAGAGCAAGAAACCTCCAACCAGCACACCGTGTGAATGAATGCAATCTGAGGCTAAGGCATGCCATGTCTATGTGCTAGTGGGGCGTCAGAGGTGCAGTGTGGTGCGCAGTGGTGTGCAGTGTGGTTGAAGTCTGACCTGGGTCGGCGTCGTGTGGCCCCGGGGAGGACTCCGGGTGGTACTGGATGCTGATGACGTTGAGAGCGGGGTATGCCAGGCCCGCGCACGTGCCATCGTTGAGGTTGATGTGCGTCACCTGCACGCCCTCGGGCAGACTCTCAGGGTCCACCGCGTAGTTGTGGTTCTGCACCGCACGCCACACAGCACAAGGCACGCAGCACAGGGCACACAGGATGGACACATGCCATGCAGTCCGGCTAGAACCTAGCTGCATGCCCCAGAGATATGGAGGCAGACATACACACATGCACCCCTACATGCACGTGCCTCACGTTCCCCACACGCATCCCATGCCATAGCCCCCCTCGTGAGCGGACCTGTGCGCTGATCTCCACGCGGCCGGAGGCGAGATGGCGCACGGGGTGGTTGCCGCCGTGGTGGCCGAACTTGAGCTTGAAGGTGCGGCCGCCCAGCGCCTGCCCCAGCAGCTGGTGCCCCATGCAGATGCCCAGCGCCGGCACGCTGCCCACCACCGCACGCACACTCTCCACCGCGTACGGCACCGCCGATGGGTCGCCCGGTCCATTGCTGGGGGAGGGAGGGGAGGGTTGAAGAAGCGCAGAGTCAGGATCATGGGCAGACAAGAACGAGAGATAGTCGGGGAGAGAAAGAAAGAAAGAGGAAGGAATTGCGAAGGGCCGGTGCGTTGGGTTGGAGTTGGGGCGGGGGGCACCTGAAGAGGACGCCGTCGGGGTTGAGCTTGGCGAGGTCCTCGGGGGCGAAGGTGGACGGCACCACCGTGATGCGGCACCCGTACGACGCCAGGCGGCGCAGGATGTTGTGCTTGATGCCGAAGTCGTACGCCACCACCTGGAGGGGGGGGTGCGGGGACGGGATGTGTGGAGGGCATGTGTGGAGGGCATGTGTGGAGGGCATAAGTGGAGAGCATGTGTGGAGAGCATGTGTGGAGGGCATGTGTGGAGGGCATGTGTGGAGGTCATGTGTGTGGAGGGCATGAGTGTGGAGGGTGGAAGCATGATTCCCTTTCCATAATAAAGAACGTTCACTCACTTGAAATGCATTTCACATGGAATGCATTGACTCACATGGAAGGCGTTGACTCACATGGAAGGCGTTGGCCATGGAGATTTCCTTGGCGTCATCACTGAACTCCCACTCGCCCGTTGGATCCACCCACACATACGGCTGCTCACACGTCACCCCCGTTATAAGATCCTTGCCTGCACGCACACACACATGGACACCATGCATATAAGCATGCAGGCCCACAAAAGGGCATAAGCAGAGGGTATATGAACGTCGCTCGTGCGGCTTGTGTGGCGCATATAGCTGGTGTCAAATGTTGCTCCTATGAACGGCATCTGCACGTAGGAGCGAGCCATCTCACCAACAATGCTGTAGGAGCGAGCCATCTCACCAACAATGCTGTAGGAGCGAGCCATCTCACCAACAATGCTGTAGGAGCGAGCCATCTCACTCACCAACAATGCTGTAGGAGCGAGCCATCTCACTCACCAACAATGCTGTAGGAGCGAGCCATCTCGACGAGCTCCTCGTCTGACTTCTTGCGGTCTGTGGAGATCACACCTGGCAGGGTGGCAGGCACGCAGTGGGAGGCGCACATCGCACAGAGAAAAGACACATACAGCATTACAGCGTGTGTGTAAATGCCCGAGTATAGCACCTGGGCACCATGCACCCTGCCACCTGCACCATGCACCAAGCACTGCACCATGCACCATGCACCACGCACCAAGCATTGTGCACCGTGGACCATGCACCAGGCACCATGCACCAGGCACCATGCACCGTGCACCGTGCACCATGCACCAAGCACCACGCACTGCACCATGCACTGTGCACCATGGATCGTGCACCGTGCACCGTGGACCATGCACCATGCACCATGCACCGTGCCCCATGCACCACGCACCAAGCACCGTGCACCGTGCACCGTGCACCATGCATCAAGCACCGTGCACCAATTCTCACACCACAGCTAGACCTGCCCATTCCTCACCTGGCCCCCCTTAAACTTCCACCTGCCCCCCCTCACCATTCAAGCTGCCCTTGTCTCGAAGTCGCTTGGTGATGGCGCGGGTGTCAATGTCCGCTGAGGGTTGTTGTTTCGGGTGGGGAGGAAAGTGGGGAAGAGTGAAGCGGAGGGTGAGAGGTGAAGGTGAGACAACGAAAGTGATGGGGGCTCTGGTGCAATACACAAGGGCCAAGGGCAATGCTGCTCCAATCCGCGATTCCCCTCACTCCCTCCTGCTCCCTCCTTCCCCTCGCCCCTCTATCCTCCACTAATTTCTTTTGCTCTCTTGCCATCATGTTGTGAGCGCTCACATATGCCCATCATGTTGTGAGCGCTCACATATGCCCATCATGTTGTGAGCGCTCACATCTGCCCATCATGTTGTGAGCGCTCACATCTGCCCATCATGTTGTGAGCGCTCACATATGCCCATCATGTTGTGAGCGCTCACATATGCCCATCATGTTGTGAGCGCTCACATATGCCCATCATGTTGTGAGCGCTCACATATGCCCATCATGTTGTGTTGTCGCAGGTAGTCGGGCAGAGTCTGCGACGACCGCCAGTTCGACACGCTGGGGAGGAGGGGGGGAAGGGAGGGCGGGACACAGGGGACGCACGCAGCGCAGGGGGGAGAGATGGGAGCTTGGGGCGTTGCTGTTGACGCGGTTGGAGTGGGCTTGCGGCAATGCAGATGCTGAGCTGCTCTGCTCTGCCACCGCCTTGCAGGGCACGGGCTTGCAGGGCACGGGCTTGCGGGGCACGGGCTTGCAGGGCACGGGCTTGCAGGGCACGGGCTTGCAGGGCACGGCGTTGCAGGGCACGGCGTTGCAGGGCACGGCGTTGCAGGGCACGGCGTTGCAGGGCACGGCGTTGCAGGGCACGGCGTTGCAGGGCACGGCGTTGCAGGGCACGGCGTTGCAGGGCACGGCGTTGCAGGGCACGGCGTTGCAGGGCACGGCGTTGCAGGGCACGGCGTTGCAGGGCACGGCGTTGCAGGGCACGGCGTTGCAGGGCACGGCGTTGCAGGGATGGAAGATGTGGCACGGCGCATATATCTCACCTCTGCCTCACCGCTTGCTACGGCCTCACCAGTTGCTGATGCTGCGCACAACGAGCCCCGATGTGAAGCAAGTGCGCGACTCCTCGTCCTCTGCGCGCCACCGCGGGGAGGGACGGAGGGCGGAAGGGAGGGAGGGGTTAGGCCCGGGGCTGTGGGGGTGATAATGGCGCATGCTTTGAAGGCTCCCACCACGAACGCAGGCGCGCGGGAGAGGTAGAGCGACAAGTGGCGGGGAGCAGGGGAAGTGGGTAGAACGGGATGGAGGGAGTAGGGGCGAGGGGGAGGGCGGGGGTTGGGCGCGCACGTTCGTTGATGCCGGTGTTGCCGATGTGCGGGCACGTCATGAGCACGATCTGCCCGGCGTAGCTGGGGTCGGTGATGATCTCCTGGTACCCCGTCAGCGACGTGTTGAACACCACCTCCGCCGCCTGCGTGCCGCGCGCGCCGAACGACGACCCCTTCCACACCGATCCGTCCTCCAGCGCCAGCCGCGCGTCCGCCGTCCGCCACGGCCGCTCCACGTCCGCCGCTGCCCGCGCGCAGGGGGCCAACGGACAGGACGACAGAGGGGCGGACGGCAGGAGGCGGGGGGAGGAAGGGAGAAGGGGGGGATGAGAAGGCGGCGGGAAAGGAAGCATCGTGGGATCGGCGGTGCAAACCGAATGTCGCAAGTAGCAGTGCGGATCGACGATGGGCGCCGAGGCCCCCCCAAAAAAAAGGAAACCGCAAAGCGCGCGCGATCTTAGAGCCGCGTACCGCAGGAGATCCGACGGATGCGGACGCAACTAGCAACGAGCGACGTGAGAGCGACGACCAACTGCTGCTGGCAGCGGCGGCGCAAAAGCGAGACGACGGCATTGAGGAGCGCGTGTGGCTCACGCGAGGGGAGTGACGCATTGCTGCACGGCGGGCCTCCTTGCACGGCGGGCCGCCTTGCACGGCAGCGACTCACCGGCACTGGCGCGAACAGTGGTTACTGACGCCGCGCGCTTGGTTGGCGCAGCGACGCCCTTCGACTCGACGGCGACCCCCAGTGCCTGGCCGAGCTGCGCGGACGCGCACCACCCCAGCGCCGCCTGCTTGCCGCCACACCCGCTGCCCCTGCAGGCGTCGCCCCCCCTCGCGACAGCCGCGAGGCAGGGTTGCGACAGGTGAACCGCGCTTAGTCTGGCGGCCGCCATGGCGCGGATGCGATCGGGCGACGGGGCTGAGAGCAAATGGAGCGACGCTCGTTGGTGTGCTGCTGTGATCACGGGTAGAGTTGCAAGAAATGGTGGGTCTAGGAGCGGCAGTTTCGCTTTCCTCCCCTCGCTTTGACTCCCACTCCAAACCGGCGGGGCGGGGCACAGCAGGCGCTAGTGACCCCGCGCCAGCGAGCTCAGCTGCGCGGGCTGAAGGCGACAGCCACGGGTGCGGGGGGGCGGTTTTGGGGGCCTGGGGGGAACTGCCTTGCTGATGGGGGGAACCTCTCCAAGGTCTCTGCGGGAGGGGGGAGGCACGTGAGGCTGATTTGGCAGTGCTGACTTGGAAACGGCGCCGGTTGGTCCCCTGGATGGAATCTGAGGTGAGAGCAAGGCCGCAGAACGCAACGCGTGGCAGCGCTTTTGTACAATCTGACCAATCGTACGCAATGAGTAGTCGACCAATGAGGTGTGTCTCGGGCAATTGGCAGCGGGGAAGGGGCGCAAATTACCGCCGCAAATCATTCATGAGCCCTTCCCCTGAAACCAAGGGCAGGGAGGAAGGGCCCTTGGCCCCTTCCATCTCGATTTCAGGGTGTGAAATGAAACGTGGAGGCAGGTTTCGTGAAAAGGGCGCAATTCGGAACGCCACCTGAATGGGGATGGCCCATCCACCAACAAGCTCTAAAGTCTGAGCTTCCACCACGATATAGTAATAGTGCGCACTGTACCTCGAACTACAGCATTCGTGCCATATGTTGAATCGAGTGCTCTAATTTGCGGAACTGCTGGGAGAAACCCACCGAAATACCCAAAATTGTCGGGACATAACAGCAACAGCAGCCAGCGGCAGCAGCCAGCGACAGCAGCCTCGGCGCACGATGCGGGAAATCGTGACTCTGCAGTTGGGCAGCTACGCTAACTTCGTCGGCGCGCACTTCTGGAATCTGCAGGTGCGCCTCTCACCGCTCCCGCGCATGCCTTCCCCCTTGCACCTCAACTGCCTTCCCACCCCCCTTCCCTCCCGTTACCCCTTCCGCCGATCCTCTCTCTCCTCCCTCACTTCTTCCCTCCTTCCGTCCCCCTCGCTGCGTGCCCTTCCTTCGAGCGGCCCTGCCAAGCCCTCACTCCCCCGAGTCACCTCTCCGCCAGCGATAAGAAACCTTTCCTCGCTTCCTGCCGCGCCCCCTCGCCTGCCCCCGCCGCACTCCGCTGCAGGATGAGGCGGTGGGGCGGCAGGGCGAGGGGGGAGCGGGGCAGCAGCAGGCGGACCTGGAGGAGGGCGTGGTGATGCAGTGGCGCGAGGCGCACGGGCTCGGCGTACGGCGTGGGTGGGGGGCAGAGGGGTGGCGGAGGGCATGGGGGGAGGGCATGGGGTGAGGGGATGGGGGGATGGAATGGGGGGAGTGCATGGGGGGAGGGCATGGGGGGAGGGCATGGGGGGAGGGCATGGGGGGAGGGCATGGGGGGAGTGCATGGGGGGAGGGCATGGGGGGAGGGCATGGGGGGAGGGCATGGGGGGAGGGCATGTGGATAGGTGGAGGGCATGCGATGGCATGGCATGCGAGGTGTGAAGGCATGCGAGGTGTGAAGGCATGCGAGGTGTGAAGGGCGTGTGGTTTTTGCTGCTCTCCACACCCATGCTTGCCTCTCAAACCCCTCCTCACGTCTCTTCTCACCTCTCCCTCTATCGTCCTTCATTTCTCTTCCGCCGTGCCGCTCTCATGCCTCTGCTCTCCTGTGCATCACGCCACTGTCCCCTCCGTGTCGCCCTGCCAGTCCACCGCATACTGCACGCCCCGTGTGCTCGCCATCGACTACAAAGGTGCGCTCCACCCTCATGCCATGTGCTCCCAAACCACGCCCATCCACACCGCACCATGCCGCCCATGCAACGCCATGCACTGCGTGCCATTGCCCCGTCATGCGCTTTCTTCGTGATCCTTTTTCCCATCCTTCCTTCCCATCTCTCTCCTGCTCTGTCTCTTCTCCTTTTCTCTTGTCAATCCTTTTGTGCATGCCATGCCATGCCATGCCATGCCATGACATGCGCCGCCTATGTTTCTTCCCCCCGCTGTCTGCGTGCAGGCTGCCTTGGACCCGTGTCCCTCGCCTCGCCCCTTGACAGCCATGGGGGCATCTCGCCTGCACCTTCTGCCATACCCACATGGTGATGCTGCCTGCCATGCCTCTCCTCCGCCATGCATATCCCTCCTGTGGGGCACTGCGGCTGCCGTCTTCCCTCACCCCACTCCCCTCCCTCTCCCCCCCCCCACCAGGTCTGGCCCCTCCTCCGTCTCGTCCTCCGACCCTCTCCCCCTCAACCCCTTCCTGCGCCGCCTGCACCACGCGCCCCCGCCCGCCACACACACTGCCTCGTCCGCGCATGTAGCAGAGGGGCGGGAGCAGGGAGGACAGGGGGCGGAGTACAGGCAGGGTGCGGGGGGGGAGGGGAGTGAGGCGGCGGAGGTGGCACGGGGGTTGGAGGGCGGCGTGGGGTACTGGACGGAGTACCTCAAGGCGCAGCTGCGCCCGCGGAGCGTCCTGCAGCTGCCGGGGGGGTGGTGGCAGGGCGCGCTCTCGCCGCTGGACGCGGGGGGCTATGGCGACTGGCGCGAGGTGGGGGGCGGGCGGGAGGGCGAGGAGGAGGTGGAGGAGCGAGTGCGGTGGCTGGCAGAGGACTGCGACGCCATGCAGGGCTTCTCCCTGCTGCTCGACCCCGCCTCGCCGTTCGCCTCACTGGCCACGCGCGTGGCGCTGCACCTGGCGGCGGAGTTCCCCAAGGCGCCCAAGCTCCTCTTCTCCCTGCGCCCCCCCGACGCCCTCCTCCCGCCCACCGCCCTTTCTCCTGGCCCCCTCGCCCCCCCCCACACGCCGTCCCTGCTCACGCTCTCGTCCGCCGTCTCCCTGGCCGCCCTGCTGCCCCTCACCTCCCTCGTGCTTCCTCTCGGCCGGCCCTCCCTCGCCGGTGCGCGTGCCACCTCCGCCTGCTGCTGCTGCTCGCCCTGCCCTCCCCACTTGCTCGCCCTGCCCTCCCCACTTTCTCGCCCTGCCGTCCCCACTGGCTCGCCCACTGCGTGCCACTGATTCCTCTCCCCACATGCACCACATTCCCTTCTCCCTCACCTCGCATGCTGCCCTGTGAGCAAGTCGAAACGAGTCCCCACTCACACAAGGCCTCTCGGTGTCCCCCATCCTCTCCCCCCGCAGGTCTCCTCCCCCACGTGCGCCCCAGCGACGCCAGTCTCTTCCACTCCTCCGCGCTGCTCGCCACCGCCATCGACGCCCTCTCCTCGCCCTTCCGCCTCGCCCCCCGCCCCCCCTCCTCCTCCTCCTCCCCCGTTGGCCACGTGTCCATGAGGGACTTCACCTCGCTGCTCTCGCTCTCCTCGCCCCATGGCGGCCTCTCATTCGCCTCCATGGCCCTGCCAGCTCAGCCACTGCATGAGGCAGCAGATCAAGAGGCAGCAAATAGCAGCCCGCCATGTGGCATGGCTGTGCTGACGTCAGACTTGAGCGGCAGCAGCAGAGAGGGGAGGGGAGAGAGGGGAGGAGGCAGCAGAGGGAGCGAGAGATGGGTGGGGGCGCAGCAGCAGCAGCAGCAGCAGCAGCAGCAGGAGGAGGAGGTGGAGCGAGGCATTCGGGCGCAGGTGGTGGTGGCACGGGGCGTGGTGGGCAAGCAACCCACAGGTGGGGGTGAGAGCGTGGGAGTAGTGGATGGCAGGGAGAGCAGGCAGGGGAGGCAGGGGAGGGGAAGGCGGGTTTGAGGGATGATGGGTGAGAGCGAGGGAAGGAGGGCGGGAAGACAAGTCACAAGGGATTGAAGAAAGGGTGCTGACGGCAAGAGTGCAGTGGAGGGGGCGATTGGGAGCATGGTCAGGTCGTGCATGTGCACCTCACACCACTGCACTGGGCTTCCCTGTCTCCCTGCGTCTATCCCCTCCCATCTCTCCCCTCCCCCCCTTCCGCCCCACTCCCCCTCCCGCATGTGTGCAGGCGCCTACCACACGCCCCCCGCGCCACTACCCCCCGCAGCAGCGGCCTCGGCCATCCAGCGAGCGCTGCTCTCTGTGCGCATGCGCGTGGCCCCCGTCCCCGCGCCCTGCATCGCGCACATCGCCGCCATGCAGCAGCCCCTTGCCATTCCCCTGCCCTTCCCCCGCTTCTTCTCCGCTGACGTCAGCAAATTCGGTCTTGTCCTGCCGCCCTCCCAGCACCGTGCCGGCGTGGTGGGCAGGGCAGCAGCAGCAGAGGTGGGGGGGTGGGGGTGGGGGTGGGGATGGGGCCGGACGTGGAGTGGGCGCCAGTGGTGGCGCGTGCGGCAGCGGGGCGGGCCATGGTGCGGCACGGGCAGGTGCGCGCCGCAGCGCTGGAGTGGGTGCAGGGGGGGCGAGGGGGGGCGGGCAGGCTGATGGTGGGGGCGTGGGGGGTGGAGGGGGAGGAGGTGTGGGAGATGCAGGAGAGAGTGCTGGAGGTGTGCGAGCGCCTGGGGGGGGACGAGGGCAGCGGGGACGACTGAAGGGTGGGTGGGCGCGGCAAGGGACTGGATGCATGCAGCACGGCATGGGGGTGCATGCACTTGGACAGGCTGGGTACCCACCCGCCACACATGGTTTAGCATAGCGTGCCACCCGCCACACATGGTTTAGCATAGCGTGCCAGTATGTTTGCCGCCCAGACTCCAGAATGTTGACTTCACCACCGGCATCAATCCTTTTCTTTGCATTGCATTGGTACTCAGCAAAACAAACCAACCCATAGCTGTAGATAATATGCAATGAACAAGCCTAACCCCTACAGGAACCAGCTTGGCTCCTGAGCTGTGAGAGCACCCTGGGCTGACCACCTTTCATGCCCGCCCTGATTCGCCAGACACAGGCTTGGGACCAGACGCAGCCACGCGTGTGGCGGGCTCACTCGCATGCCAGCAAGCACCATGCGCCACCTGCTGCTATGGCCGCGCCTGCTGCCCGCCGGCCCAGCACAGTGCCCACCCTCCCCGTGCCCTGCCTTGTGTGTGCACCTCCCCCCTGGCACTGCCTCCCCCGCGTCACTCCCAGTCGTCCACGTCGATATCCTCCTCCTCCACCTCCATGTCGGGCGGCAGCAGCGCCACCACCACCTGCCCCACCACTGCTGCGCCTGCCCCCTCTCCATACCGCTCCCCCACCTCCCCCCCGCCACCACCACCAGCCCTCGCTCCCCCCCCCTCTCCGCATCTCGCACCACGTAGTAGTGCTTGCTCTCCACCGCACTGCCCTCACCCCACCCGCCCGCCACCACCACCAGCACGGGCCCGTCCCCCTGCCGCGCCTGCAGCGGCGGCAGCAGCGAGGGCGAGGGCAGCAGCAGCGCCACCAGCGACGGCACGCCTCTCAGGGCGGGCCACGACGGCAGCGCCACCCACGGCAGCCCGGGCGGCGGGGAGAAGAGGCGGAAGGGGCCCTGCGGCTGCGGCAGCGCGGGCAGGCGTGCCAGGTCAGCGGCGCACGCGACCACGGGCACGGGCGTGGCCTGGGTCTCGCTGGACCGCAGCCGCACCACTGCCAGCGACGCAGCTGCCGCCACCGCGGGGGCGCCGGCGCCAGTGGCGTGGGCGGCAGCGTGCGCGGGGGGCGCAGCGTCGGGGTTGCGGCAGCGGTGCAGCGCGGAGGCGAGGAAGGCGGAAGCGCCCTCCGTCTGCGCCACCTGCCCCGCCCTCTCCAGCGCCGCCTCCCGCTCCGCGCGGCTGCGCGCCTCCCCGCTCTGGCGGTAGAAGGCGAACGCCAGACAGTCGCCGGGGGCAGCACTGGCGCAGCACAACGGGGGGGAGGGGGGATCAGGGGAAGGGGAGAGTGGGAAGATGTGAGAGGTGAGGAGAGCAGGGGGCGCTGGGGTAGTGAGGAAGGGGGGAGGAGGAGAGGGAGAGAGATGGCAGGGCGTAGGGTTGAAGGCAGCTCGGCGCGCGTACCTGAAGTGGCTTCGGTCCGCCTCTCGCTTGCGCCGCTCGTACTCCTTTATCGCCCGCGCCACGTCCCGCGCGCCCTTTCCGTCCAGCCCCTCCCGCGCCACGTACTCCGCCGCCTCCTTCCGCTGCGCGCCCGCCAGCACGCGCAGCTCGTAGAGCGCCTCCGCGCCGCCCACGTCGAAGAACGCCAGCAGCGCGGCGTCCATCCCCGCGCCCGTCAGCGTCGCGCGCACCTGCGCGGCCGTCGTCACGGCGCTCTGCTCGACGCCCGTCATCCCCGTCGCCTCCGCGATCGCCGCTGGCGACAGCCCCTGCCGCCCCAGCGCCGCGATGGCGGGCGCGTACTCGTACCACAGCCCGCGCCGCTCGCGCACCGCCTCTAGCAACTCCTCCACCGACCCCCCCGCCTCCTCCGGCGCGCGCTCCGCCGGCTTCAGAAACGGCAGGTACAGCCCGCCGCCGCCGCCGCCGCTATTGCTACTGGAGGAGAGCGGCTGGCCATTGAGGCCCACGAGGCCCTGCCCCTTGGGGAAGCCGCCGCCCCCACCGCCCCCGCCTGATGCGCGCGCGCGGAGAGGCGGAAGACGGTGAGCGCGGCGGGAGATGACGTCACGACTGAGGGGTGCGCGCGGTAGGGGCGCATCGACGAGCGAGTGGCGCAGCAGGCGCGATGGCGCGCTGAGCGACGCGGCGTCCATTGCGGACGAGCGCACGCGCGACACGCAAGGGGCACGAAAGGGGCACGCGGATGAGCGCTGGGGATAATGCGAGGCGGGCGGGGTGAGGGAGGAGATACCAGGGAGGAAGGATGAGGAGCTGCACCGAGTGGAGTGCATGTGACGCAGAAACCTGAAAGAGGGGTTGGAGTGGAGGGTTCAGGGTTATGCAGGCACATGACAGCACAGGGGCATCCGTCTCATTGCTGCACGTCTTGCGACTTGCCATCCCACGCCCATCTGTTCCCCGCCTCCTCCTCCAACCCCCATCGCACCAGTCCATGCCCCATCGCTTCCTGCATTCCACACTCAGCCGCGCACGAGTGGATGCCATAATAAGAACCAGCACCGGAGCCTACAGTCGGCTTGCACGCCTCGCCATCTGCCCTCTGCGCGATCGCGCTGCGCCTTATCCCGCACCGCCCGTAGGTCGCGCTTCTTCGTGCGACTGCTGCTCCGTGCACCGCACTCGCTTGTCCTCGTCTCTCCCGCGTGCCGCCGTTCCGCGTGTCTCCCGCGCACCCTCACCGCGTCATTCCGCGCATGTCCGCGCAACCGGCCGGCAACATGAGCACCAAGCGCCCCCGCACAGGTCAGTCGCGCTGCCGCGCCGCATCCCCTCGCTGCTCCGCTTCCGCGCACTCAGCGTCGCTCACTTTCCTCCCCCCCGTCGCCCCTCTCACTGCGCATGCGCGCATGCGTGCGGGCGACTGACTGTGGCGCAGACGCGAGCGCGGGCGGCGACTGGACGTGCCCGGCGTGCGGCAACGTCAACTTCTCCTTCCGCGCCTCCTGCAACATGCGCAAGTGCGGCGCCCCCAAACCCGCGCCCGGCCCCTCGCTGCTGCAGCCGCTGCCGCAATACGCGGTGAGAGCCCCTCCGGATCGCGTTGCCCCGTTCCGCTGGTTCACTCGTTCCGCGCGCTGTGCTCGCTCGTACCGGGACGCCCTTCTCCCCTCCCTCCGTCGCTCTCTTCTGGTACTGGCGCTCCCGCCTCCCTCCATCCCCTATCGGCCGTCTCGTCCCCTTACCCTTCGCCGTCGCCCCTTCTCTCTCCGCGCGCCCGCTCTCCCCTTTGCAGCCCGCGCCCTCGGCGGGCACAGCGGGCGCCATGGCGGTGGATGCGAGCGCGCCGATGGCGCCCATGCACGTGATGCAGCCGTTGCAATCGATGCAATCGATGCAATCGATGCACGGCATGGCGCCGCTCCCCCAGCCCTACATGCCCGCCATGCCCCCCGCGCACTTCGCCTCCTATCCCCCCATGGCCTCCCCCTCGCCGCTGTACGGGGGTGGACCCGCGTCCATGCCTCCGCCCTACGACCCCTCGGCGCATCTCCCTCCGCCCTACATGCCGCCCGCCATGCCGTACATGCCCATGGCGCCAGGTGCGATGCTGCCCTTGCTGGCCCTCCCTTCCCCGCTTTCGTGCTGCACTCCCCTTCCTTCCGCGCCTCTGTAACGCGCCCCCTCACTCACACCCCGCCCCCCTGCCTCCCCCCGTGCTCCCTGTCCCCTGTGCGCCCTCAGTGCACTCCTTCCCCCCCTTCGCCATGGACCCCTACCGCCCGCTGCCGCCTGTAAGCAGCGTGCCCCCCTCTGTCCCTCCCCCACTGCCCCGTCGTGCTGCGCTCGTCCTCTCTTGCCTTTCCCCGCGCGCGTCTTCCCTCATTTCCCCTCCCCCGTCTTCCCTCATTTCCCCTCCCCCGTCTTCCCTCATTTCCCCTCCCCCTTCTTCCCTCATTTCCCCTCCCCCTTCTTCCCTCATTTCCCCTCCCCCTTCTTCCCTCATTTCCCCTCCCCCTTCTTCCCTCATTTCCCCTCCCCCTTCCCGCATCATCCATTCGCCCAAACCCTCCGCCTCTCCTTTCCTCCCCTGCCTCCTTCCCCATCCCTTCCCCCCACCCCCCCTTTTCCCTCCCCCCCTGGCAGGCGGGCATGCAGCGGTACGACGGCGGGGGGGGGGACGGGCGCAAGCGCAGGGGCGGGCCGGAGGGCGGTGGGGAGGGGGACTGGGTGTGCGGCAAGTGCGGCAACACCAACTTCGCCTTCCGCACGCACTGCAACATGCGCAAGTGCAATGAACCCAAACCCGCTGCCGCGCCGCTGCCCCCGCCCCTCTATGTCAGTGCCCCCTCCCTCCCCCCTTCTCCTCCTGCACACCCTTCGCACCCCTCGCACTCCTCTCTCCCGCACACCCCTCACCCCTTACCCCACCTGGCCCGTCCATCATGCACGGTCGGGCGTAGGAGGCTGTAGCACCCACGGCTGTAGCAAGCCTGGTCGCATGTGTGTCATCATGCTGTGCGCACCCCTTATCCCTGCACGACAACGTCACCCAGCTCCATTCACGATTCCTCCCTTTCCCTTCCCCCACACCACACTCCCTTCCCTCCCCCCCCCTCCTTCCCATCCCACCCATCGCCCCTCGCAGCTCCATCCAGTGGCGCCCACTCCTCTGCCTCCTCGTGAGTCGCTTCCGCCTCCCCTCGCCCCGCACTCGCCCCACCTCCACCCGCCTGCCTTTCTCTGCCCACCTCGCCTACCAGAGTCACTCCACCGGCTTCCTGCACTCGCCTCGCCTCGTTTCGGCTTCTCTCCGCCTCGCCCTCTCCGCATCTCCGCCTCGTTTTCGCTGCTCCTTCAATGTCCCGCCCGTCCTCCATCTCCCCCCATGCCCATCCACCCCGCTCTGAGTGTGCCAGGCGTGCAGCCAGCGGCCCCCGAGGGCAGCTGGGCGTGCAGCGAGTGCGGCAACGTGAACTACCCCTTCCGCTCGCACTGCAACCGCCGCCACTGTGGCCACCCCAGACCCACCGACGCCACTGCTGCGCCTGGGGGGGGCGGAGGGGGTGCGGCCCCGGCTGCTGCTTCTGCGCCAGCCAAACTCGAGGTACGCCTTCCGGGGTTGGCATGCGTGCGTTTTCAACCAGCCAACACAGGTTGCCCTTGCCCGAGGTCGTTGGAAGCCGTGCGCGGGTGGAACTACTGTGCCGCCTGAGAAGGCCCAGTGGAATGACGGCAGCTGCCCTGCCGCGAGTACAGGAGGGGATCCAATCCATCATGCCCATCCGCCACACCAGTCCGCCCGGGATGTGCCTCTCATTGCTTCGTGTCTCCGCCCGTACTTCTGTGTACCTGTGCAGTAGCGTCTGCCACAGCAGGCCAGGTCACGACTCACGCTGCTGTAAGTTCTCCTGCCGTCCCCTAGTTGCTCTGTGCTTCAAACACCGGTGAGAGGCAGTTTCTGTTCCTTCGCTGCTCCCCCCCCCCCCCTCCCAAGTGTTCACGGTGCATTCCTTTCCGCTCGCAGTGGTGGGTCTGCACGCATTCTGAGCCTCACAGTCTGCTTTTGCCGCTGAGCTTCTCCTTTCTCGCTCCGCTGCAATCTTCCATGCGTGCCGCCCGGTCAACTGTCTGTGTGTCCGTGTGTCCACGTGGCTGTCTGTCCGTCTGTCTCTGTCTGTCAGGGTCACGGTCACTCGCTGCTGTCTCGCGCTCACCCACCGCAAGTCTTGCTTTGCTCTCACCCGTGTCTCGAGGTGTCGGGGCAAGGGAGGGTGGGAGAAATAGCTTCTTGTCGTGTGCTCCCGCCTAGTGTAGTGTCGCTGCCATCGCTGCCATGGTGACCACTCGTGTTTCCAGGTGGAGTCTGTCCCGTCCTTGGCTTCTCGTTCGTGAGCGCCCTGGGAACATTTCATGGCACACTGATGTCACTCATGCCGGCATGGTCACGGTCACAGATGTGAATGGATGGTGCATGGTAGTGAGCAGAGCAAGTGTATGGAACGTACCATCGCCTCTTTGCTTGCTCAATATTACATCGCTCGGGGTATACAAATCTCTTTTACCGTAATCCCCTGTATATAACACCCTATGGTGGATGTAATAATTCATTAAAAAAATGACTGGGTGTTAACAGTGGCATGAAAAAATATAACACACATGTGTTATGTATAATTCATTTTAAATCTGATTGTTTCTAGGCTTATACATGCATTGGGTTTCTTAAAGGGAGTTTTGCGCTGTTTGGATGAGAGGATGGCCAAGCCAACGTGTCGAACTCGGCATGGGCTATAGGATTTGTGGCCAATCCCTGACGGCCGCAGCTGCCAACAGCCAGCGGATTGCTGCCATCGGCTGCCAGTGCTGCGAGTGCACAGCTAGGTGCACTAGATGCTGCCAGCGCAACACCTGCGACGGAATTTGGCATCTCAAGATGCCCTCTGGAAGCTTCTTGACCAGAACCATGCTTCTTGACGCACCATGCTAGCATGCGATGGTGTTTTTTGGCTGTCAAGAACCGTGCGTGGCTCGGGAAGAGGGTCGGCCCACGTTTCTTGTTCATTTGTTTCTTGTCGCTGCGTCATTTTAGCGTTCCAGTATTGTCTTCCGTGCAGAAAACCCTTCGCGATGTCCAACCTCTCTAACAGAGCCTCAGGCACTAGTCCGCCGAGGCGATTTTGTACGCAGAGATTCACTCATGGCGGCCCGTGCTGTTAGCGGCCTTTCAGTTTTGCGAACCCATCGTCCTCCCCATGGTAGTCAGTTTCTTCTCCGTGCGTTTCCGTCGCTCCCTCCAGCACCACCTGCGCCGCCAGCTCCGCCTGCGCCTCCCGCGCCTCATGCACCTCCTGCCCCACCTGCTCCTCCCGCACCTCCCTATCCATCGTCTCCGATTTCTAGTTGTCCCGAGGAGTGGGACAACGGCTGGCATGACGATGATGAGCTACATTGGGAAGATGCTGCCGACGGAGAGCCAGAGCCACCACCGACACTTCCTCATGTCATTGTTCCATCTTTCCCTATGCCCATTCGTCGTCCCCACATGCCGCGGGTTAACAGGGATGCTGCACCTCCCTCCCCCAAAAATCGCAGGACCAGGCGCAAGAGAGTCGCGCGCACAGCGGCGGAAAAGCTACACTGGTTGGCCCATCTCGACTCCGACCCGAAGCTTCGAATCGCAAGCTGGCGAAAATGGCCGAGGTACAACCTTGTCTGATATGTGACTGGAAGAAGAACAAGGCGCAGCTCTCGGCGGCGGCGGGATGCAGGCGTCGTCTCATCGGTGCTGGACGCAAGGCGAAGTTCCCTGACATGGAGAAGGAGATGTACAACCGCTTCCTCTCACACCGTGCGCGCGGCTTGGCGGTGTCGGTCAATTGTCTGCAGAAGTGGAGTGTTCATGCGGAAGCGCCATCCCGGTGTCGATTGGCGTGCGTCATCCCGTTGGACCTTCCGATTCCGTACCCGTTGGGGATTGACACGGCGCGTCAAAATAAAGATGGGCCAGCGCCTAACCAGCGGTGCGTTATGTTTTTTATATACGAGCTCTGTAGCAATTTCGCTTACGGCTTCCCATTCATTGAACTGTAAGAACTTAAGCATGTACACTCACACCGTATGGTGTTTCCTCGTTTTGCAAATTGCGGGGCTAAAGTCGAGAATTTCTGGGAGTTCGTACGCCAGATGCGCACAGTCAACAAGTATGCCAACGACTTGATCATCAACGCCGATCAGACGCCTTTGTTCCTCGAGATGCCCCAAGAGACTACACTAGAAGTCTGCGGTTCAAGGACTGTACATATTCGCACTGCTGGCTACGAAAAGGAGCGGTTGACCGTCATGCTGGCGGTCACTGCTGGCGGGCAGAAGCTCAAGTCGTATGTGATCTTCAAGTGCAAGACGCTCCCGAAGATTCGAGTCCCGCCAGGTCAGTATCGACTGTGTCTTGATGTGACTAAGCATTATATGTACCGGAGTTAGAAACTAACACTACGCTTTCTGGTTCTTTCATTATTGCATGCAGGAATCGTCATCCGCGCACAGGAGAAGGGATGGATAGATGAGGACCACGTTAAGGACTGCATTATGACGGTCCTCGTCCCCTTTCTGAAGCGACTTCCTACGAGTCGTGGCGGGCGGCAGAAGGCTCTCGTCGTCCTCGACTCCTACAAAGGCCACCTGACCGAGGGGGTGGCAGCATTGATGCGTCTCTTCAAACTCTCACGTGCCGTGATACCTGGCGGCTGCACGCCGATCGTCCAACCTCTCGACGTAGCTGTGAACCGATGCTTAAAGGCTCATGTCCGCCGGTCCTACTCAGGTTGGTTTGAGGAGTTCGGCTGCGACTCGACAATTCCCGCAGGTGAAACCCTTTTCATCCTTAACCTCTGCTTTTCATACGTTCTTGTTTAGCGTTTGCTTTACGATGCCTTGACGTGTTGCTCCAGTTCTCGCTTCGGTTTGCCTAATGCGCACTGTATTCTTCACCCAACCCTGTCCGCCCTTCAGGAAATCTGAAGAAGCCCTCGGCGGAGGTGGTGTTGCAGTGCATCGCGGCCGCCTGGAAGGCAGTCCCCGCCAACCTCATCCGCAAGGCTTTCAAGACCTGCGGCATCTCCAACGACCTCGATTGCCTCGAAGACGACCTCATTCTCGCCCACGTGCACGACAAGGCGGAGATGGAGGTCATGGACGATGTGCACGCGGAGGTTGAGACGACCGGCGAGAAGACGAACCCCTTCTTCGAAGCCGAGTTCGTTGAGCCGACCGCCGACGAGCTCTCGAAGGACAAGAAGTGTGACGTCGCTGTCGACGTTGACCTGCCGCAGCATGCACCAACGACACCTGGCGCGGCCGACGTGGCGGAATCCTCTGCAATGGCGGAGGCTCGACTTAACGCTGCAGCAGCGGCAGCATCAGCATCGACAACTCCAGCAGCAGCTGCAACTGCGGCTGAAGCGGCTGACACTACAGAGAGCAGCGATGTGGACTCCGCAGAGATGACGCCAGCGGCGGAGGTACTTGCTGGACTGGCCGCCTCCCGCTCGAATGAAGAGTACGATTGGGACGATATTGCATCCGACGATGATGACGTTGAGGCTTGGCACGTTGGAGATGAGGATGACGATGAGTATTAGGTAATGACTGATGTCCCTAATTGCTAACTGAAAGCCCTATGACATGATCTAGGCCTTGCGCTAGTCACTGGATGCTATTCTGGCATGCAACAATGAGTAGGAATTCAAGCGTATTGTAACGTTGCTGTAATGATAGAACCCACATATATGATTTTACAATCGGCTGACTGTACTCCGAGCAAGAAAAACGGGGGGGGCGTTATATATAATTCGTCACCTGAAAAGCGGGTACTCTAAAAAATGCACCATATCATAAGCTCCCCCCCATATTAACCACCCATAGAGTGACTATTCCGGCAGATATTATATACGGGGGATTACGGTACATGCTGTCCATGCCGTCTTGCGTCGTGAAGTTGGTTCAACTTTATGGGTGGGTTGAAGGGGTGTGTTGTTTCCATCTACAAATGTATATTGCCTCGTGGTTTAAGGGGTGATATGAGTGTTGCAATGTATCCACATGGTAAGGCAGTCTAGTGAAAGTGGATCTGTAGCTTGCATCAGGAAATCTTTTACAGTACACTACCGTATGACGGACATGCCCAGTCAGCAAAATTGAACATTTGTCAAAATTTGGCCAGGAGGGCTAATGATGTATACGCATGATCCCTATTACAGACATCCGAGCTACTCGCACAATCCGAACAAAGACACAATGACTTACATGCCCTGCTCTTATCACGCAGTGTAAGTGCGTGTTCCTACGAGCCTCTTCCCAGGCAACCTCTTCCCAGACTTACGCACGACCTTGAGAGCGTGTTCCCAGGACCACTTTTCGGAATACTCTCGTTTCATATTTGCGTTCCATCACTCTCAACCACATAAAACCAGCTGACGTCGAAAAATTACTGTACATATTCACGTTTGTCTGAAAATCTGATCGTATGAAAAGAGGTTTTAAAACACGCCCCTCAATCTCAGGAAGTTGAATCTCACTTCGCACTTCGCGGAATTACACTGAAACATTTCGCGTCAAAATTTGCGACACTGTAGCATGTGAGTCTGGGATGAGGTTGCTTGGGAAGAGGCTAGTAGGAACACGCTCTAGGAGCACATTCAATGTGTGACATGAAACGCACCCCAAGGCTCTTGTGTTCAAGATATCATTGAGATTCGGAATCATCCAATGAGAGGCGTCGACAGGATCAGATTAGTGATTGTTTAAAGCCCAGGTCCCAAGTTACAAGGCGCGAGGTTTTTTGTTAACAATTTCGGAAGGGGTCTGAGTGGTTACCCTGTGCAATTTGAGAGCAGTGAACAAGTGGGGGGGGTGATGGAAAAGGGAGGCGTGTGATTGGACGATGAGGAAAATCGTGTTTCGCTAACCCAGCACAAACTCCAACCAAAGGGAAGAAAACTCCAAGGGGAAAAAGCGGGGCTTGTAATTTGGGACTGCCTGGAAACCATTTTGTTCACAAAATGGAGCCATGCGTAGCTTTTCCCACCAGCATTTCGCAATCAGACGCGCTAGCCTAGTCCAGTTTACTCATACCCGTCGGTCTAGCCTTCTAGCTCCGGGGACCCAGCTTCCCGCCGTCTCAACCATCTCGCTTCGTGCACCATCTCTAGCGCCCCACTGCCCGCCGCTACCCTCATCGCGAGTGCACCCACGCGTCCTGCGAACAGTTTCCCGCGCCCGCTGCGCCTCCAAGCTTCCTGCCGCTGCCCATTACCCACTTTCCGCCCCCCTCGGTGCTGGTTGGTTGCAAAGCGGGACCTGCTTCCCGCTGTTTCCCGCTTCGCGCAGCCTGTGCGAACCGCAGCGACTCACCCACCTTCCCATGCCGCCATGTCGATACTTCCCGCAGCGACTCGCTCCCCAGAGCCCGCTGTGCGGCCCTTCCTCGCTTCCCGCTGCCTTCCCGATTCCCGGTTCCTGCAAGCTTCGCGCTTGCAGAATGTTCTTCGCCGTTCGATAGGCGCGGGGACAGAGATGGGGAGAGGAGCGATGAATAGAGGCGAGAGAGGGGGGTGGATAGGAGGCGCGTGAGGAGGGAGGAATAGAGGCGAGAGATCAGGGAGTAAGTGTGGCGAAATAGCAGGGAAATTGAGAGGCGACATAGCAGGGGATAAGAGAGGCGAGAGAGAAGGGAACAAGAGAGGCGAGAGATGGGTGGAGGGGAGGGGGGAGAGAGATCAGGGAGAAAGAGAGGCAAGAGAGGGGGGAGGAAGAGAGGCGAGAGAGGAAGGAGGAAGAGAGGGGAGAGAGGGGGGAGGAAGAGAAGCGAGAGTGGGGGGAGGTAGAGAGGGGGGAGGAAGAGCGGAGAGAGATGAGGGAGTGCGATAGGCGAGAAACCAGGGAGGTAGAGAGGCGAGAGTCGAGGGGGGGAAGAGACCAGAGAGAGCTGGTGGGAAGAGAGGCGAGAGAGCAGGGAGAACGAGAGGAGAGAGAGGGGGGCGGAAGAAGGGAGAGGGAAGGGGAGGAAGAGAAGCGAGAGAGGGGGGCAGAAGAGAGGCTCAGGAGGAGGGAGGAAGAGAGGCGAAGCAGCAGGGAAGAGAGCGGGGCGTGAGAGAGGGAGAAAGGCGAGAGGGCAGGAACATGGAAGAGAGGAGTGAGAGCAACGGGATCGTGAGGAGTGAGGGCAGCGGAGGGAGACAGGCGTCAGAGTGCAGGGAGAGTGAGGGGAGCAGGAGAGGGGTAGTGGATTGAGAGCAGGGGAGGGGGGGAGGAGGGAGACATGGGAGGGGGAGAGGAGGGAGAGCAGGGATGGGTGAGATGCACGAGAGCAGGGGAGGGGAAACGGCAGGAGTGCGCGGGAGGGAGTGAGTGAGCAGGGAGGGAGTGAGTGAGGCATGAGGGCAGGGAGGGAGTGAGTGAGGCATGAGAGCAGGGAGGGAGTGTAGGCTAGGGATTGTGGGGAGGTGAGTGTGGGGAAGGTAAGGAGGGCGGAAGGTAGGGAGGGTGGAAGGGTGGGAGGGTGGAAGGGAGGGAGGGCGGAAGGGAGGGGGGGCGGGAAGGGGCAGCTGTAGCACGTGTGAGGAAGGGAAGGGGCAGTCCAGTAGTGAGGGCGGAAGGTGGTGAGGGCCGAAGGTAGGGAGGGCGGATGATTGGGGGGGCTGATGGCGGGGAGGGCAGAACAGTGGGGGGGGCAGAAGGACGGAGCGTTGCGCCTGAGAACCGAGGGAGTGAGGCGTGAGGGCAGGGAGGGGTGGGGGGCGTTAGGGGGGGGGGGGGGCGTTAGAGGAATATGAAGATGATGATGATGCTAGGCCTGTCTCTGAGCAGGGTGGGAGAGATACGAACGAGCAGGGAGGGGGAGAGGCAATAGGGCAGGGAGGACGAGAGGCGATAGAGCAGGGAGGGAGAGAGGCGATCGAGCAGGGAGGACGAGAGGCGATATAGCAGGGAGGACGAGGTGATGGAGCAGGGAAGACGGCAGGAGATAGAGCAGGGATGAAGGGTGGCAATGGAGCAGGGATGGAGAGAGGTGATCGAACACGGAGGGAGATGGGCGAGTCTACAAGGCAGGGAGAGAGGCGATCCAGCACGGAGGGAGAGAGAGAAAAGTGCAGGGAGGGAGAGAGAGAAAAGTGCAGGGAGGGAGAGAGAGAAAAGTGCAGGGAGGGAGAGAGAGAAGAGTGCAGGGAGGGAGAGAGAAAAGTGCAGGGAGGGAGAGAGAGAAAAGTGCAGGGAGGGAGAGAGAGAAAAGTGCAGGGAGGGAGAGAGAGAAAAGTGCAGGGAGGGAGAGAGAGAAGAGTGCAGGGGGGGAGAGAGAGAAAAGTGCAGGGAGGGAGAGAGAGAAAAGTGCAGGGAGGGAGAGAGAGAAAAGTGCAGGAAGGGAGAGAGAGAAAAGTGCAGGGAGGCAGAGAGAGAAAAGTGCAGGGAGGGAGAGAGAGAAAAGTGCAGGGAGGGAGAGAGAGAAGAGTGCAGGGAGGGAGAGAGAAAAGTGCAGGGATGGAGAGAGAGAAAAGTGCAAGGAGGGAGAGAGAGAAAAGTGCAGGGAGGGAGAGAGAGAAAAGTGCAGGGAGGGAGAGAGAGAAGAGTGCAGGGGGGGAGAGAGAGAAAAGTGCAGGGAGGGAGAGAGAGAAAAGTGCAGGGAGGGAGAGAGAGAAAAGTGCAGGAAGGGAGAGAGAGAAAAGTGCAGGGAGGCAGAGAGAGAAAAGTGCAGGGAGGGAGAGAGAGAAAAGTGCAGGGAGGGAGAGAGAGAAAAATGCAGGGAGGGAGAGAGAGAAGAGTGCAGGGGGAGGAGAGAGAGAAAAGTGCAGGGAGGGAGAGAGAGAAAAGTGCAGGGAGGGAGAGAGAGAAAAGTGCAGGGAGGGAGAGAGAGAAAAGTGCAGGGAGGGAGAGAGAGAAGAGTGCAGGGGGGGGAGAGAGAGAAAAGTGCAAGGAGGGAGAGAGAGAAAAGTGCAGGGAGGGAGAGAGAGAAAAGTGCAGGGAGGGAGAGAGAGAAAAGTGCAGGGAGGGAGAGAGAGAAAAGTGCAAGGAGGGAGAGAGAAAGGAGTGCAGGGAGGGAGAGAGAAAAGAGAGCAGGGAGGGAGAGAGAAAGGAGTGCAGAGAGGGAGAGACCAGGGTGCAGGGAGGGAGTGGGTCCCCGCCATTGGGGGAAGGAGAGGAGGTGGCTCGTGAGAGTCACTTTGTCCACCTTTCACAGCTATGTCTTCATTCCACCAAACCCCTGTTGTCCCAATGTCTACAGGTAACCCACGGCCCATGAGGAAGGAGGGAATAGTTGTGGCGCACCTGGTCACATGGGGGAACTTAGTCAACCTGCAGTTAAATTTGCGAGAACACCAGAGTTATTGGCTGTAAGGTTGCTTGCCGTTTCCAAGCTTTTCAAAGCAGGTCGGACGATGAACAACCAGTAGGCATCTGACTGCTTTTAGATTGTTATAACCATTGACTTCTGCGTGTATGCATATAGATCCTAGCCACCACATAGATCCTCGTAGCTACAGCCATAGGCCCCCTGAAGCATGTATCTTATTCTTACGCCCCAGTCTATTGCTCATCCACATTTGGCCCTAGTCTGATAAGTATCGGGGGTGATCCAAGGAAATGAATCCTGATTGTAGCTCCCCATTGGGAGTGAGCCACATAGCAGTGGGAAAGCCAAACGCCAGGGCCAGGCCATCGTCGCATTCTTGCTCCCTGCTCACC